CCCCCCCCCCCGGCAGCGGCCCCACCCTACTCCCTGACCACCCTCGATTAGGGAGAGGGACAACATGCAGAGGTAGCTGTGCTTGCAGGAGTCCCCCCCCCCCCCCCCCCCCCCCGGCAGCGGCCCCACCCTACTCCCTGACCACCCTCGATTAGGGAGAGGGACAACATGCAGAGGTAGCTGTGCTTGCAGGAGTCCCCTGTGTAGGCTTAGGAGTAGTGGTAGGTAGGTAGTGAAAGGTGAAATTGATTGAGAGAAGAATATAGCTTAGTACTCATTTCTGTGACTCCCGTTCAGTTTCCCCATTAATGCGACAGTTAGGAAGAAAACCCTGGATGGCAGGCACGGAGGCGGGGGAGGGGGACCTGTGTTCCGATAGCACTGCAGGCCTGCGCTAAGTCAGCGTTATTCCGGGTACAGTCTAATGCTAGCTTGATGGGAACAATCTAATGTCCGATTCACGCATTGTGGAAAGGCTTGTGCCTCGCCTAGGTAGTCGCCAGAGCAGAGCTATGGAGGGGTGAGGTTATAAACAACCCGCTCCTTAATTGGAGGGGGGGGGGGCTTTGAGCTCAGTTGTATGTTCCCCTAGGGCGTCTCCTCTTTTTTTTTTTATCTTTTTATAAAAAGCTATATTCTTCTCTCAATTTCACTTCGTCTCCTCTTTCAGTCATAGCGTCTCCTCTTTCAGTCATATCTAAAACTTTGCGCTCTCTATTACACCAGCTATACTGTTTTCGAGGAAGCAAACAGTTACATTGAAGAAACTAATCGTGACTACTTGGGCAGTTTGGGACTACGTACATGAAGATCGAAGCAACGTCAGCGGAAGCAGTGAGAGAGCTTGCAATTGTAATTGGAGTGTTGTGGACACTACCAAGGGGACACCTAGCTACACTTTGCATCGGGGCGTACTGGTGATCACATTCTTCATCTTTGTTCAGCCGACTCTCCAAGGCTGATTCACGGATAGATCGCACGGGGAATTCGCGTTTGGCTGCGTTGGGATATCTTGTATTCTTATGCTCTACACCTGGCTCATTTTCAAATGTTAGATGCTTTGCTTTGTCACTGGTAGTCTGAAGACATTCATTTACATGCTTGTAGCCACAGTTTTGGGCTAGATTCCTCAATTTAGCCTCATAGTTTTAGTCGACTCGGACTATTGTATGAGAATTTTACACTTTCAAGTATTATTCCAGTTGATTTCTCAACTTGCTTCATGTCAATATTGAAGGGTTTTATCGGATGTACAGTAATATCTAATGATAGGATTCCATGAGCGAGCATTTGAAATTATGCACCTAGCTATATATCTAGGCTACATTCTATGTCTTTGGAACATGACAAATAATTCCATGAGTGAGCATTTTAAATTATGCACGCAGTTTTGTATCTAGGCTACATTCAATGCCTTTGGAACATGACAAAGTTAGGTATGTACTATGAATCCATGCGATTCTCCAGCTGTAAATATAGGCTAACATTACTGCATCTTCGGCAATATTGTCTACCTGAAATTTTTATGCTTCTACTTCTAGGCAGACATACAGGCTAGATTCAATTTTCCTTTTAGAGCTTTGTGTTGCCATATTCATGTTAATTTGTATCTTAGGGTTTGTGTTGGTCCAAAGAACGGTTGTCATGGGACAGTTTCTCGGTTCACCAGGATGGCACTCGGGGAGCTATCAGCAGTGACCCTGTGACGAACTATTTTATGCAACCGCGCGATTTCTTGCGCAAGGCTACTTCGGGGGTTGAATCGGGAGGGCCTGCGGGATTACATGGGTGCCCTGCTTTTCTTGTTTTTCAGAATCGAGGCCGAGGTAATCTTGTGACGATTGGTAGCTGGTCGCGCTTTAGCGAGCGTGAAAAATAACCGTTGCCATAGCTTCTCTCTTGTTTTCCTGTGGGAAATAGGAATTTCGCAATTATGATTAAGATTATGAATATAGGGGCGTCTCAAATTTTGTTGCACGGTGCTTTTTGCCTGCGCACACTTTGCCGCGTTAGGATCTGTGTTTTGACTTTTCTGCGCCTTTATCATTGAGTGTAACTGTAATTTTTGTTTTGGCGGGCATAATTGCAACTGTAATCCTTTTGTTCTTGATATCTTTTGTGGCGTTCCTGTGCGCGCGTACTTCTTCCTCTGTCCTAATTGGCCGGAACGCTTGCATGACTGGATCAATATATGGAGTGAGGATACGTCCCCCACACCGCGGCCTGACCATGCAGACGTGGGCACTTCCTTCCTCCTCCTTCTAGAGCGGTCGAGAAGATCGGCTAACGAGCAAGATTTGGAAGGTGAGTAGGGAGTTGGGCGATCCGACGAGCTGGTGTTGGGCATGCGGGGTTGACATGGGGCCGTGACGGACTTTGGCGCACGGACGAATCTGGCTGGCACGTTCGGACTAAGCGGGGTGACAACTCTGTGTGGGTGCGAGGCGACAGACTGCCCGTATCGGGATGTTGTGAAAAGAGAGAGAGAGAGGAGAGAGAGAGAGAGAGAGAGAGAGAGAGAGAGAAAGAGAGAGAGAGAGAGAGAGAGAGA